TCTGGGTATTATGAATCTGTGCTTCTCACATCTGCTCAGAGGTCAGTGGAAGTTTTGTGCATCATGAATGTACCCTTGACACCAGCCTCCTCACAACTTGGTGTCCACCAGATTTTTTCAACTGCAAGTCCCATCATCTCCTACCATTCTTATCCACACTGGCAGGAGTTGATTGGGAGCTGCCATCCAAGACACCTGTATGGCAACGAGTAGAGGAAGGCTTCCTTCCACGATCAGTGTCCTTACCATCTGATTTCTCTGGCCACCCATTGTAATGCCCTTTAGTACATACCTCTGCCGTGTGATGAGGTTGATGTAATGCCTCAGTGCCGAATAGTATCTGGCCATGTCTTCTGCTGGTGCATCCTCCCCAGGACTGTCTGGTTTGGAGGGATATGCTTCTGCCATTGTCCCCAGGCAGATCAGCAGACACAGGGCAAGTGGCATCACCGACAGCCACAATCTCATGGTCCCCTGCATCTGTAGGATGGGGGAAGATGTTGGGGGTAGGAAAGAAAAGGCAAGACGAAAAGCATTACATTAAATATTTCCAGATCCGGCTGTTCTTGTTGTTTTGGTTCTGGTTTGTTTGTTTTGGTGGATCAAACAGTGATAGCCAGCTCTTATGCTTAGGCAAGTCCTCTGAAATAACAAACTTGCCCAGATTTCTAATATACTGTTTCTCAAACCAACAGCTACATGAAAGGGGAATGATGCCTGGAAAATGTCATCTATGACCAGTGTCCACAGTGGCTGCATAGTTACGTGGCCTGGAGAGAGAGGAGTACATTTTGCACTATATATCAGACAAAATCTAAAGAAACAAAACAAAACAAAAACATGTGGCACCTTAAAGACTACTATATTTTAGTGAAACAATATTTGATAGGAGTACATACTCTATTACAAATACAGTAATACTGCTTTGTAATGTTCCACTATTCCAGAACTGTTTCTACTGAGAATTATACCAATACAAATAATATTGCTTTGTAATGTTCGACTATTCCAGAACTGTTTCTACTGAGATATGACAAAGAACTACTTAGTTATATATATAATCACTGCCGCCAGAATTCTTTATGCCAAGAAATGGAAAAAATCGGTGATACTGAAACAAGAGGAACTCATTGAGAAGATACGGGGAAGCGGCAGAAATGCATATTTTATCAGAAGTGTTGAAAGATTGTCCAATACAAAAGGCAACCAAACAATGGGATTTATCATATAAATGGCTTGAGTCACCAGATAGTGCTTGAATAACATAGAATTAAACTAGGATGTAAATGTAAGTTAAAACCTGGAGGGCAATCAAATTGTAGAAAAGCAGAAAGTCGATTTGATATTGTAACATGAATAGATTGGATGTCAGTACATTTTGTGTTTCTCCTCCCTCTCCTTCCCCCATCCCCCTTTACCTTTTGTGCCCCTTACCTTATCCCAAGTTATTAATAAACATCCCCCTTTACCTTCTGTGCCCCTTACCTTATCCCACGTTATTAATAAAAGAAAAAGAAAAAGACTACTATATTTTAATTCGTGAACATGTCCACTTCATCAGATATATGAAAACTCTATGTATTTTAACAGTTTGACTTATTACACATTGACTTGGAATTTATAATCACATGAAATAAATATTTTATTTGAAAACAAACACAATTTTTAAAATTATAAATCCTACTCTGCACATGCTCTGATGCTGCGCTCCAGTGTTGTTGACAGATTCTAGGCAAATTCATCCCTGCTGTTTCGAACCTTCATAATCAGTACTAGGTCTTGTTATTATAAACCTCCCAAAGTGGACGAGTCAAGATGATGGTAGTGAGTGGAAATCATTGAGGACTCTGCCAATGTCAATTGCACAGCAAAGAACAGTTCTGCAAAACTTAAAAGCTTCTGCCTCTTTTCATCAGAAGAAATGGGTTTCATTAACATTTTGCAGGAGGGAGTTGGCTCCCCTTTAATCTTCTCTACCTGTATGTATGTACTGTGAGCTATGTCAATTCTGACTTACAGCAACCTTTTTACAGGCTTTTCCTGGTAGAGAATTTTCAGAAGCGGTTAACCATTCCCTTCTGCTTGAGGATGGTGGTGGTGTCCTGGGGCTGTGCAGCATACCCAAGACTACACAGGCTTGACTCCCCTCCTAGGAGGCATAGTGAGGACTCCAACTCCAAACTTCTGGCTCCTCAGCCAAATGCCTAAACCACTGAGCTATCCAGCCAGTATTCTTTTTTTCCTAAAAAAATTTTTAAAATCGTTTCTACAACCTTTCTGAAGTCATCACAGCCTACTTACAAAACTAGCCAGGTTTTCTTTAAAATATTGTTTTTTACCCTGGGTCATAGGAATCCCCTCAGCAGCAAAAGACTTCAAGCAGCTAGGTAGGGTTGATGAAGAGTTTTCCGGAAAAGAAGGCGAGGGGGGGGCTCTTTGTCTTTTTTCCTGCAGGGGAAATTTGGTGGGGGGGAGAATCCAGGAATGAGGAAAAACTGGAGGGGAACGAGCAGGCATTCTGCCCTCCCGGATGCCTCCTTCGATCCGCTGCAATCCGAGAAGCACGTTTACAGAAGACTAACTGGGATTGGCTTCGGTGGGGTTTATTCCCGAGTAAATACGCTTTGGGAGAAGTTATTGCTATTAAAAAAAAACAACTTCAGAGCCTTCGAAAGCCGTGAGATCTGGCTTGCCGAAAACTTTGGCCGCGGAGGAACGGGGACATTTGGAGGGGGGAAAAAGGGATGTTTCTGCTCTGAGCGTCCCGGGTGTGGAGACGGAAACGCGGGAGAAAGTCAAGAGTTAAAGGGGAGCTTCCTAAGCATCGCTTTTGAGGGACTTCAAGTAGCCAAGCGAGGCTAGATGAGAGGCATCTGAGGAAAACTGGGCGCAAAAAGGACCGAAGGAAGGAAGGAAGGAAGATTAAGTGGATGGCAGGCAGGGAAGGAGGGAGGCGAGTAAGGGAACGGGCGCAGACTTACCGTCTGTGTACTTGGTGGCTCTCGCTACTCCGGAGTCTGCTTCGAAGTCCGCCGCTTCTTTAGCGAGCGTCTCAGCTCCTCCTCAGTGTAGGGCTGCCCGCCTCGGCGAGGGTTTTTTATGGCTTTTCTAGCCGACTGGGGAGGCGGGGGGGGGCTGGGGCGATCACGCATCGGTCGTCCTCCCTCTCCCACCCCACCCCACCCCCTCTTACACACACGCAGACTTCCCGCCTGCGCCTTGCCCCAGGATTACCATCATCGGTTGCCATTCCAGCGCTTGACATTGACATGGGGCGGGAGGAAGCGGGGCGGGGGGGGAAAGGGAACCAGGGCGGCGAGCAGACACGGCTGTTTTCTCTCCAACACTACGAGAAAAATCTTTTAAAAAAAAAAAAAAAACAAGAACAGGAGGCGGGGCGGGGGGGGAGAAGGGGAACCAGGGCGGCGAGCAGACACGGCTGTTTTCTCTCCAACACTACGAGAAAGATTTTTTTTAAAAAAAAAAAGCAGTACATTTAAGACAAGGCCTTTTGGCGGACGCGCCCTGCTCCCATTCCATCACCAGCGCCCTCTTCGGAGCTGTGGCAGGTCACCCGTGGACATTGGTAGCTGGCAGAAGGGGCCAAGAGGAAGCCAAGGGGCGCCTCTTGGTACTCCCAGGGTCCGTAGGCCCTAAAATTCACCTTGCTGGGATCTGGCGTCCTCCAGAAGTATAGCAGTACAATTCCCACCATCTCTCTCCAGGGATGGTGGGAGTTGTAGGTCAGTAACCTTGGGAAGGCAGCAAATTTTTGGTAGGCTGCCTTAAGTCCCTAGAGAAGAGGATACAGAATCTGTTTCAGCCATGGTGAGGTTGTGGGTCAGAGCACTGGTTCCAATTGTGTGCTGCCCCAGATCAAGAAGAGTTGGCCAGGCAGCATCTGAAAGGCGGAAAGTCAGCCCCACCCTCTCTCTCTCTCTCTCTCTCACACACACACAGAGGTTGTAGACTTCAAAGGGAGAACACATTATGCCTTGACTGGCAGAGGAAGGGATTTGAGTTCTGTCTGGTACCCAAACGCCAGCATCTGGAGCGCCCTCCTCTCTCTGCCAACTTTTGTAGACTTCAAAGGGAGAACACACTATGCCTTGACTGGCAGACGAAGGGATTTGAGTTCTGTCTGGTACCCAAACGCCAGCATCTGGAGCGCCCTCCTCTCTCTGCCAACTTTGATCTTGAGGCTCAGTGGTCCCAAAGAGCTCAGTTCTCACCATAATCCCACAGACTGCCGGGATAAATTCCAAATCCAAAGAATGAATCCTCCCCAGGAGCAGCTAAAGCAGCCTGCCCTTACACCAACCTCAAACAAAGGCAGAAAGGTTTGGAACTCCCATCTGTATCCCTGGATGCCACATGTTACTTTTCTGGTGTTGTGATGAAGTTCAAGAGAGGGGGTGCACAGGGGCAAGAGAAGGATGCACAAACACCCCTTCACCATATAGGTAGGCGAGCAACCATACACGTTGATTCCTGGACTTTGCTGCTTTTCACAGTTATAAAACTGCAATTATCCTTGGCTGAACAAATCCACCTCTCAAATTTCGAGGTCCACAGATGAGAAACCCCTCCTCTATGCAGCCTGAACTACAAAGTGGTCATTTTCGATTCTAGATTTTAGTTACAGGACTAGTGTGGTGCTGTGGATAGAGTGTTGGCCGAAGGCACAGGAGATCTGGGTTCAAATCCCAGTGCAGCCATGGAAACGCATGGTGAGGTGACACTGATAAACTACTCTTTGAACAATTCATAGATCTCAAAAGCCGTATTAGGGTTGCCGTAAGTCAGAAGTGACTTTATGGCACCTAACAAGATCGGACTTAATGATGTCACAAGACCCATGGTCTTTAGACAGTAATGTAATTTTCTGTATTTCAAAATGTGCTAAGGCAGTGCTACCACATTCTGCCTGGATTCCAGTCCTAAAGTCCTGCCTGATGGTGCCACTAAAATTTTAGGCCTAACTTCACTTGCTTACTATTGTAAGCTGACTAAATCAATGGTATTTACAAAAGCATTGACTTACCATTCTGGAGCTGATTCAGTAGGTCTGCTTTAGTTGAGACTAACAATTGACTAGAGGTGACCAAAATATGACCTGGAGAGCTTGTTGCCATGATTTCTTCAAATCCGTGTGTCTTCGGATGAGAATTGTGATTAGATTCATAGATGGTGGGATCTAAACCTAGCAAAATATAACACAAGTTTAGTGTTGCAGTACAAAGAAGAACTTCATCTTGAACTCCCACCAACCTAGTGGTTCGAAAGCATGCAAATGCGAGTAGATAAATAGGTACCATCTCGGTGGGAAGGTAAACAGCGTTCCGTGTCTAAATCACACTGGCCATGTGACCACGGAAAGATTGTCTTCGGACAAACGCTGGCTCTATGGCTTGAAGAGCGGGATGAGCGCCGCCCCCTAGAGTCGGACACGACTGGACAAAAATTGTCAAGGGGAACCTTTACCTTTACCTTACAAAGAAGATATTGTAACTCCCCAGTCATTTGAGTGGCTCTTTTCAGTATTTGGTGTTCCAGCTCCATGGCATCTCTTTCCAGCAGGTGATGATAAAAACTGAACTCTGGATTGCAAGTAGAGACACACTGAGGATACACAGAATGGCATTGCGATATCCTGGCTGTTTTGCTTTCTATTATCCTAACCATTCCGAGCACTACAAATGTCCTTTTCATGCCTTTAGCAAGCTATGATGAAATGATCAATTAACTTTATATGATGGCTGCAAGATTATTTATTTCCTGCCTCATTCCCACATATGCAAAAGATTATTTTTTTGACTTTGACTCCTATCCACAGGTGAGATGGCCACTGGCCACTCTGACTGAAAGATTATGGAGGCTGTGGACCCCAAATGCAACTTTCCCTCTCTTTTGTAGTTTTAGCCAGTTTAGAGCTTCTTGTTGTATAAAGCCAACTTTGCACATTCAGCATATATTTCCATGCTTATATCTACTAATGTGTTGTGCTTTTGATAATGAAGCTACACTACATGAGTCAAAGGGATGGTGGAGGATAAAGAAACGGGCAAGTAAGAAAGGAGTGGGAAGAGACATGGGTAAATGAAAAGGGAATATGCATATTTCAGAGTTTCCTTTGTTCGGCATTTGGAAGCAAACACACATTTTACTCTTCCCAGGTTGTGTGTCAGTTAGAATGCAGCCCATGCAGTCATTTTCATTTCACATTTTTGCAAAGTGCAGTGCCATTTTATATTGTTTTAAAGTGTGCTATCTTATACAAATAAATATCAAAATGTACATAAAATTACATATTTTACAATGAAGTGCATCTAGAATGTATATGATTTTTTGTGAATTTTTCTTTTCCACCACCATCATATAACTTAAATGGAGAAATAAGTTGGAACACATATTCATAAACACATATGAAAATGTCATAGGACAGAATCCTAGTGACATTTGAGTAAGTTTTGCGTGACTTGCTCCAGCTAATTGCAACTAATTGGCAGGATACCAGTGCCCAGACTAATGTCCAATTGCACAGCCAAGATGTGTTCCAGCACTTTGGTGATTAGCCGCAACTAGCTGCAGCCAATTGTGCAAACCTTACAGAAACTTATGGGGTTCCAGCCATAGTCTCCAAATAGGCTGATCTGCCGTCCTAGAAGGTAACACATTTAACAGAGTAGAGAAAGTTTCTCCCATGGTTTACTAACTGTCAGTAGGGAAAAATTTGAGGCAGTAGGGAAAAATTTAATTTGTGTTTACTAATTAAATCATGATTGCAATGCTCTAGAAGGTCTTCTCTGTCACTGCTCCCAGACTCTGGAACTCCCTCCCACTAGAGGCCAGCCTGGCTCCACCTTTACTGTCCTTCTGCAGGCAGGCAAAGACCTTTCTCTTCAGACAGGCTTTTCCCTAATGACTGGTGGTCTGAGAGGGGTTTTAAATGGATTGTTTTGCTCTGTTGT